TGTTAGTGGACCATAGTGGACCACTATATTTGTTAGTGGACCATGATGGACCACTGTATTTGTTAGTGGACCGTGATGGACCACTATATTTGTTAGTTGACCATGATGGACCACTACAGTTTTTAGTGGACCATCGTGGACCACTATATTTGTTAGTGGACCATGGTGGACCACTACAGGTTTTAGTGGACCATGGTGGACCACTGTAGTCACTCGTTAAGTCACGATGGTGCTGAGCTTTTGATCCGAGAATCTGGAGCTCTCTGTCACCTTGGATCAAACTCGACTCTTACTTTAGTCTCTCCTCTTAAGTCCTCGTTTTCTTTTATTCTTTTTTATTTCCCATTTTCTAGCAACATTGAATTCTCTCCGTTTTCTGTGAAAGTTTGTACACAGTTGTTGCTGCATTGCAGCTGCAATGTGGCAATGGAGCCAGGCTCCAACCACTCTAATTTCCCTTAATTTTCGTACATTTAGTAGGTCTAAAATAGGCCTGAATCTCTCTCTGAAGGTTGGTCGTACGTGAGGCAGACGAGTGCGGAACAACTGTCTTACTCATGTGTGTGTTAATTGGTGGCTGCTGGAGGGTATATAAGTGTGTTAGCTCCTGCCAGGGGACATTTACTTTGTCTTTTGGCAACGGATCATTCCCACTGTTCGTTCTGGAATCCTGGAATACACTGGAATCAATACTGGAATCCTGGCGCCATCTGCACCCGCCTGCTGCCAGACGCGCGATCCCTCCCCCTTGCTAGCCCACTCTCCCCGGACAGGGGAAAAACAAATCCCCATCGCATCTATTCCCTAGCGCCCCTAAAAAGTATTTTTCCTAACTTTTTATCTGTGGGGATATCTAAAAAGCTTTTTTCATTCTTAGTGTTGGGTAACGGGATCGGCACGATATGTTTTCCCTGGAGGGGGTCGAGAGAGGAAGTTTGGAGTCAAAAAAAAAAGCTTCCCGGCGTGCGAGCAGGCAGGAGGGACGCAGGCGCCCCCGTGCCATGCAAACCCCTTTCCCAGGGGAACCCCTTAACCTAGCTAAACCTAGCCTATTTTAACCCCCCAGCACTCCCATCCCCACGCCAGGAAGGAATTAAATTTTTATGTCCTGTGATAATTTTTTCGACAGAAAGTGATAAATTTCACAATTTTCCCCCGTGTTTTCCAGAAAAAGAAGTGTTTTTTTTTTATTTTAAAATTTAAAGTTGGGTTATAATTCCATGAAAATTAAACCAAGGTTGGTTTCCAATTTCCCACAAGTATTTTCTTGGGGTTAAACCTACAAGGATCCCCTTTGGGGGGTCCTACAAGTAACCCCCCCGGGGTTTTCCTTTCAAATTACCTTGGGGGTTTTTCCCACAATTTTCCCCCTTTGGGTTTTTCCTACAAAGGGATCCCTTTTGGGTTTTTCCTACAAATATCTCTTGGGTTTTTCCCACAAGTATTTCCCCTTGGGGGTTCCCACAAAATATCCCCTTTGGGTTTTCCTACAAATAACCCCTTTGGGGTTTTCCTACAAAATATCTCTTGGGGTTTTTCCCCACAAGTTTCCCTTGGGTTTTTCCCACAAGAAACCCTTGGGTTTTCCTACAAGATCTCTTGGGGTTTTCCCCACAAGTATCCCTTTGGGTTTTTTTACAAGTACTCTTGGGATACCCACCCTTTGGGCATAAGTATACTTCAAGATTCCTTGGGGATATTTTTTCTTTTAAATATTCCCTTGGGGAAAAATACCCCATCCACAAGGATCCCCCTGGGATCCATCCTAAAAGTATCCCCTGGAAAACCTATCCCACAAATATCTTAATACCTATCCTACAAGACCCTGGGTTACCTAAACCTACAAATACCCCTGGGAAACCTATCCCACAAGTATCTCCTGGAATACCCCATTTCCCAAATTAAAAAAACCCCGGGATACCTATCCTACAAGTATACCCTGGAATACCTATCCTACAAGTATCCCCTTGAATACCTATCCTACAAGTATCCCCTGGGTTACCTATCCTACAAGTATTCCCTTGAATACCTATCCTACAAGTATACCCTGGGATACCTATCAATCCTACCAGGATTAATTCACCTCAATAATTCAAAATGAATTATTTTAGGCCTTTCTAATAATTAGATAATCCCATGATTATCAAAGTAATCCTCTCCTATCAGTATGTCATGGCTCCATATATAGAGTTATAATTCCACTTGTGATAATTCTGAGGCTACCAGTGATAATTCTGTAAAATAATCAAATATCCCATCCTATCCTTGCCTATCCTTACTTATCCTCCCAGGATTACTTTTACGTCATTTACAAAGAACAATTATCAAAACCGTACTGCGCTGTATAACCCTTGCGGTTTAGCGCTTCTTTTGATTATAATATCAAAACCGTACCGATAATTATATTACTAATTATAATTATATTTATACTCCCCATGATTATTATATTTATATTAATTACATTAATAATTATGGTGCTGGTAAGTGTTTACGCCAGTTACATTAATTATTATATTAATTAACGTTGATAATCGCTGTAGGCTTTTTGCGATTATTTAAATTTTAGAATTGTAGGGGTCAGGGTCGCTAGAGGCGACGTTACTGTGCTCAGCAACCAGAAACTAGACCTTAACGACCACTGTTTCCAGCCAGTTAATATTTCCACCCTAGTATGGTAGGTGTCCCCCTTCCCTGAGTCATGGTAGTGGTCCCTGAGCCATGTTAATGTTTCCTTAGTCATTGTATGGTCCTTGAGTCGCGGTAGTGGTCCCTGAGTCTTGGTAGTGATGGACCCGAGTGATGGTAGTGGTCCCTGAGTCATGGTAGTGATGGACCTGAGTGATGGTAGTGGTCCCTGAGCCATGGTAATGATTCCTTAGTTATTGTATGGTCCTTGAGTCACGGTAGTGGTCCCTGAGTCATGGTAGTGATGGACCTGAGTCATGGTAGTGGTCCCTGAGTCATGGTAGTGGTCCCTGAGCCATGGTAATGATTCCTTAGTCATTGTATGGTCCTTGAGTCGCGGTAGTGGTCCCTGAGTCTTGGTAGTGATGGACCCGAGTGATGGTAGTGGTCCCTGAGTCATGGTAGTGATGGACCTGAGTGATGGTAGTGGTCCCTGAGCCATGGTAATGATTCTTTAGTCATTGTATGGTCCTTGAGTCACGGTAGTGGTCCCTGAGTCATGGTAGTGATGGACCTGAGTCATGGTAGTGGTCCCTGAGTCATGGTAGTGGTCCCTAAGTTATGGTAGTGGTCCTTGTGTCATGGTAGTGGTCCCTGAGTCAAGGTAGTGATGGACCTGAGTGATGGTAGTGGTCCCTAAGTCATGGTAGTGGTGGTCCAGGGTCATGGTAGTGGTGGTCCTGAATCATAGTAGTTGTGGCCTTGAGTCATGGTAGTGGTCCCTGAATCATGGTAGTTGTGGCCCTGAGTCATAGTACTGGTCCATGAGGCATGGTAGTGGTGGTCAAGGTAGTGGTAGCCCTGAGTCATGGTAGTGTTTCCTCATTCATGGTAGTGGCCCTGAGTCATGGCAGTGGTTCCTGAGTCATGGTAGTGGTAGCCCTGAGTCATGATAGTGGTCCCTGCGTCATGGTAGTGTTCCCTGAGTCATAATAGTGGCCATGAGTCATGGTAGTGGTGGCCCTGTGTCATTGTAGTGGTCATGAGCCATGGTAGTGGCCCTGAGTCATGGTAGTGGTCCTTGAGTCATGATTGTGATCCTGAACCATGGTATTGGTCATAAATCATAGTTTAGGACGTGGTAATGGTCGTAAAGCATGGTGTTAGGTCATGGTATTGGTCATAAGTCATGGTTTAGGTCATGGTATTGGTCATAAGTTGTGGTTTAGGTCATGGTATTGGTCATAAGTCATGGTATTGGTTATAAGTCATGGTTTAGGTCATGGTATTGGTCATAAGTCATGGTTTAGGTCATGGTATTGGTCATAAGTTGTGGTTTAGGTCATGGTATTGGTCATAAGTCATGGTATTGGTTATAAGTCATGGTTTAGGTCATGGTATTGGTCATAAGTCATGGTTTAAGTCATGGTATTGGTCATAAGTTGTGGTTTAGGTCATGGTATTGGTCATAAGTCATGGTTATTGGTTATAAGTCATGTTTAAGTCATGGTATTGGTCATAAGTCATGGTTTAGGTCATGGTATTGGTCATAAGTCATGGTTTAGGTCATGGTATTGGTCATAAGTTTTACCAAAAATATTTTTACCAAAAATATATTCTCATTAACAGTCTCAGTGTCTTACTCAAATATTGCCCTTATCTTACCCTTATCTTCCCCTAGCATTGCCCTTATCTTACCCTAATATTCCCCTTATCTTACCCTGATATTCCCCTTATCTTACCCTAATATTCCCCTTATCTTTCCCTAATATTCCCCTTATCTTACCCTAATATTGCCCTTTAATACTGCCCTAAACTTATATCTGCCCTCGTTTCCCTTCCTGCACCCCCCTGGTCTGCCCCAGTTATCTGCCCTGCTCTTCCCTCTAAGACAACCACCTCCGTAACACTAAGTTATCTAATTCAAGGATCGTGTGTAATCCCTGATCTATGACTAGCTATAATCCCTAATCGTTCTCTGTGTAAGGTTGTATCCCAGATGTTTAATCCAAGGTCTAAACGTCTAGTACCTTCCTGGTTTACGGCACCAATCCCTGATTGTAGCCCTTGTCCTAATCGTTGGTTGACCTTACGACACTTGGTGTAACCGCTGATCATGTGTCCCTGAAGGCCAATAGCCTAGTCCCTGAACCATGTGATTCACTAATTGACGGCCATCGATTCCACTTGGGATAGATTTATTGATCACTTAAAGTAGGTTTAATGATCCTCTGGCCTTTTGGTCCCTTACCCTTTAGCCTTTGACCCTTTCCTCTCCCCCCCTTTTTTTTTTCTCCGCCTTGGATTTAGTCTTGATCCTGTGGTCCTGTGAGGGAAGAGTCACAGAATTGCTCGCCAGAGTTTTGCGTGTAGCGTTTGTGTGTGTGTGTGTGTCTTTCCAGCCGTGCTCTACAAGTAGACTACAGATTAGACTACAGTGTGTAGACCCAGCGGTGTGTAGACTGGTGTAGTGTGCATGTAGACGTGGTGTAGTACTGTGTATCTCTGTGTATCAGGCTTTACTCTAGGCCATCTATGTCCGTGTGCAGAAGACTTTAGCAAGATGTAGTATGCTGCTACCGCTGCTGTTGCTAGCTAAGCAATCCTCTCACTCTCTCCTGATTAATATATGTGTAATATATATATATAGAATCACCCCTAGAACACACACACTTATTCCTGTTCCGGCTCCGCTCAAAACCACAAGAAGTTAATGTTTATTTTTAACACCCTCCATAATAACTGTCCAATTCTACCTTTCAAAACACCCGGAAATAAAATTCTCAAAGAGATAGCAGAACAATTGTAGAATATAGAAATGGGCTATGAATGCATCACTCTAGATAGCCGTTATAGAGAACAGTTACCTGGAGATAGCAGAGGTCTATGAACATAAAACACTTCTCCCAGAACGAATACGCTGAAGTTGAAGAACAACCAGTTACTCTTTTCTTCAGCAAACTGTTTCAAGAAATGTTTCTTAAGAGGCATCAATAATTCCAGCACATCTTAGAGGTAGAGCCAGTAGGCCTACTATAGTTCTCCTGTGCTCTTCATTCAGGAGAAGAACTTTGCTAAGGATTTATAACTAAAGAAGAGGATCGTTGCAGAATCTTGAACGTGATTATACCATCCATAATCCGCTCGTCTACCAGCATTTAACATCTCTCAGCTACTACCAGTATCTGGAACTTGCAGAACACCCACTTCCCTAGCCTCAACCACCGAAATTGACCACCATGGACAACGTTACCGTCAATTCCTACGTGGAAAATGAAACGAAGAGCACTTTACTGGACACCGCCACCAGTGAACTTGACGTCCAGGTGACCGGCATCGTTTTAGACCCGCTGGGCTCCACAAACGAACCTGAAACCACCTCCATATACCGGTAGGCTCCTCTCCAGCTCCTCTTCCTTCTCGTTTCTCCCTCACTTCCTCTCTTTTTATTCCCTGTTCCTCTATCCCATCAGCACTTCACACAGCTTCTGGCTGCTATGTACCACCGTATGCTACCACCTCTGCTTTAGTTATTAAGTGTTCAAGCCTGTGTTCTGCTTTACAATAACCTTGTCCCATTTTGTACTACCAATATTCCTGTAGGCTTCTAATGGTATGGTTACATTATACATTTAGACACCTACCCTCCTCAATAGGCACCTTCACCTATTGCCTCCTTCGCCTTTGCCACCAATCATTGATGATGAAGGGCTTTTGATTTAAGAGATTGATGCTATGCTTAATTTTCTTGGATCATAAATTTCCGAAGTTACGCTCTCAGTACTTCTCTCTCTCACACGGAGAAAGCAGTATACACCAAGAGTTGTATATTTCTCATTGTATATATACAGAGAGGGATACACATCACTATATAAATATATATCTGTATATACATTAAGAGGTGTGTATCCCTGTGTATATCCACCGAGATGTTTATATCTCTTACACAGAGTTTGACTTAATCCTTGTATTAAGTATTTAAAGTATTTCAGTACCTTACCAGCAGTAGCCACACCCCGGTATATATCCGTAGTTGTCTTCCTGCAGTATACCTGACGCATGCCTGGGTATACTCTGCAGTATACCTGATGCATGCCTGAGTATACTCTCTCTTTCTCTTGTAGTTACCAGCTTGTGCTCTCAGAATGACCCCCATCGGTTTTAAGCCTAATGCAATTTTCCAATAGGCATTTTTGGGGATAAATGTCGCTTGCATGTTTTTTTTTTTGTAGGCATGATGGTCTTCGATTAGGCCTATTTTTTCCCGTCGTTTGAGGCGCTTATAATGAATAATTTTCATGTTTTCTGGAGGCCGTGCCAAGACTGGCGAACCACAAGAATTTTTGTCGAACGAAAATCTTGGAAAAATCTGTTTGAATTATTTATACAAATCCCTTTTTGAATTGTGTTTACGTTTGTAGTTACATACTGTGTAGAAATTTTTATAGAACCGGTTTTTTTTTTGGTTCTGGTTAATGACGTAGGTGTTTAGAAGGGTGAATATTGTGTTACACAATACCAGTAGGTCGTCTTTAGTATATTTCATCCTCTCCCTCCCTACCTACCTCCCTCCCTGCCTCCCTCTCTACCTCCCTCTCTCCCTCTCTACCTACCTCCCTCCCTGCCTCCCTCTCTACCACTCTCCCTCTCTCCCTCCCTGCCTGACTCCCTTCCTCCCTGCCTGCCTGACCCCCCCTGATCCCCTCTCCCTTCCAACTAGTCTCTCTTCTCCCTACCAGAGAGCATCCTCTCCCTACCTCCCCCCTCGCCCTCATTCACCCTCCCCCTCCACATATTCCTCATCCTCCTGTTCCTATCCTCTGGAGAGGAAGGGGATAGACTGTTGGCTGCTAGATACGCACATCTGCAGTAAGCACCACAGCCTTGGTCATCATGCAGTTCACAAGCAATTCCCATTGTTCGCAGATCACTGTACAATTCAACAATAATTCATATAAATCCCTTTCACTTTTAAAGTTTATGCAGCTGAATTTATTGTTATATATTTTTACAAGACTCCCACAATTCTCCAACTCATAAAAATGCATCACAATTCACATAAAACTCCCACAATTCACACAGAACTCTCACAATTCACACAAAACTCCCACAATTCACACAAAACTCCCACAATTCACACAGAACTCTCACAATTCACACAAAACTCCCACAATTCACACAGAACTCTCACAATTCACACAAAACTCCCACAATTCACACAAAACTCCCACAATTCACACAGAACTCTCACAATTCACACAAAACTCCCACAATTCACACAAAACTCCCACAATTCACACAGAACTCTCACAATTCACACAAAACTCCCACAATTCACACAGAACTCTCACAATTCACACAAAACTCCCACAATTCACACAAAACTCCCACAATTCACACAGAACTCTCACAATTCACACAAAACTCCCACAATTCACACAAAACTCCCACAATTCACACAAAACTCCCACAATTCACATAAAACTCCCACAATCCACACAAAACTCCCACAATTCACACAAAACTCCCACAATTCACACAAAACTCCCACAATTCACACAAAACTCCCACAATTCACACAAAACTCAAGGTTCCAGGAGAATCATCATAAAAATTACTAAGTAACAATATAACTCAGAATTTTGAAACAATTCTCACAATTCTGAAATTGTGTAAAATTTCTCACAATTGTGACAGATCATACACAATTTCAACATAATTCAATCCAGACTCACACAATTCTACAATAATTGACACAATTCTCTTTAAATTCTTACGTAGCAGAATTTGTCTAAAATAATATGTGATAACTTAAGTTAGGTGAGGTTACTAAGTTAGGTGAGGTTACTAAGTTAGGTGAGGTTACTAAGTTAGGTGAGGTTACTAAGTTAGGTGAGGTTACTAAGTTAGGTGAGGTTACTAAGTTAGGTGAGGTTACTAAGTTAGGTGAAGTTACTAAGTTAGGTGAGGTTACTAAATTAGGTGAGGTTACTAAGTTAGGTGAGGTTACTAAGTTAGGTGAGTTTGGTTAGGTGAAATTACTAAGTTAGATGAGCTAAGTTTGGTTAAGTGAGCTAAGTTTCGTTAGGTGAGGCTACTAAGTTAGGTGAGTTTGGTTAGGTGAGATTACTAAGTTACGTGAGGTTACTAAGATGGATGAGCTTACTAAGCTAAGTGAGGTTACTAAGTTGGATGAGCTTACTAAGTTAGGTAAGGTTATTAAGTTAGGTGAGCTTACTAAGTTTGTTTAGGTGAGGTTATTAAGCTAGGTGAGGTTACTAAGTTGGGTGAGCTTACTAAGTTTGGTAAGGTGAGGTTACTAAGGTAAGGTTACTAAGTTAGGTGAGATTACTAAGTTTGGTTAGGTTACTAAGTTAGATTAGGTGAGGTTATTAAGTTAGGTGAGATTACTAAGTTAGGCTAGGTTACCAAGTTAGGTTGCTAAGTTTGGTTAGGTGAGGTTATTACTAAGTCTGGTTAGGTGAGCGTACTAGGTTAGGTCAATTGATGTTTCTAAATTAGGTTGGGTTTTTAAGTTAGGTTAGCTAAGGTTTCTAAATTAAGTTTTTAAGTCATGTTAGGTTTCTAAGCTAGGTTAGCTGAGGTTTCTAAGCTACGTTAGGTTAGGTTAGGTTTCTAAGTTAGGTTAGCTGAGGTGTTTAAGTTAGGTTAGGTTAGGTTTCTAAGTTAGGTTAGCTGAGGCGTTTAAGTTAGGTTAGGTTTCTAAGTTAGGTTAGCTGAGGTGTTTAAGTTAGGTTAGGTTTCTAAGTTAGGTTAGCTGAGGCTTCTAAGTTAGCTGAGGCTTCTAAGTTAGCTGAGGCTTCTAAGTTAGCTGAGGCTTCTAAGTTAGCTGAGGCTTCTAAGTTAGCTGAGGCTTCTAAGTTAGCTGAGGCTTCTAAGTTAGCTGAGGCTTCTAAGTTAGGTTTGGTCCAATAAAACATTTTGTATCGTCAGTGAAAAAATATTCTGGTTCCGTAATTTTGTGAGATAATCGACGTATTGGCAAAGTTCGGCTTATTAGACGCACCACATATATGTTCAGAAAATTCACACAATTCAGAATATTTAAGTTTGACTCACACCTCAGATTTACAACACTTAATTAATACAATTTTTACACAACTAAACAGCTCACTCAACGAACGTGAACAAGTCATGTATATTTTGGAGAAGTGATGGTGTCAAGGACAACAGAAGTGTCAGTGTTACGACCACAGTGGTAGTGTGATGGTCCTGTTACACTGTGTCAGTGTTAAGACCGCAGTGGTAGTCTGATGGACCTGTTACACTGTGTCAGTGTTAAGACCACAGTGGTAGTCTGATGGACCTGTTATACTGTGTCAGTGTTACGACCACAGTGGTAGTCTGACGGACCTGTTATACTGTGTCAGTGTTACGACCACGGTGGTAGTCTGATGGACCTGTTATACTGTGTCAGTGTTACGACCACAGTGGTAGTCTGACGGACCTGTTACATTGTGTCAGTGTTACGACCACAGTGGTAGTCTGACGGACCTGTTACATTGTGTCAGTGTTACGACCACAGTGGTAGTCTGACGGACCTGTTACATTGTGTCAGTGTTACGACCACAGTGGTAGTCTGACGGACCTGTTATACTGTGTCAGTGTTACGACCACAGTGGTAGTCTGATGGACCTGTTACATTGTGTCAGTGTTACGACCACAGTGGTAGTCTGATGGACCTGTTATACTGTGTCAGTGTTACGACCACAGTGGTAGTCTGATGGACCTGTTACACTGTGTCAGTGTTACTACCACAGTGGTAGTCTGATGGACCTATTACACTGTGTTAGTGTTACAACCACAGTGGTAGTCTGATGGACCTGTTACACTGTGTCAGTGTTAAGACCACAGTGGTAGTCTGATGGACCTGTTACACTGTGTCAGTGTTACTACCACAGTGGTAGTCTGATGGACCTGTTATACTGTGTCAGTGTTAAGACCACAGTGGTAGTCTGATGGACCTGTTATACTGTGTCAGTGTTAAGACCACAGTGGTAGTCTGATGGACCTGTTACACTGTGTCAGTGTTAAGACCACAGTGGAAGTCTGATGGGCCTGTTACACTGTGTCAGTGTTACAACCACAGTGGTAGTCTGATGGACATGTTACACTGTGTCAGTGTTACAACCACAGTGGTAGTCTGATGGACCTGTTACACTGTGTCAATGTTACGACCACAGTGGTAGTCTGATGGACCTTTTACACTGTGTCAGTGTTGCGACCACAGACCTGTTACACTGTGTCAGTGTTACGACCACAGTGGTCTGATGGACCTGTTACACTGTGTCAGTGTTACGACCACAGTGGTAGTCTGATGGACCTGTTACACTGTGTCAGTGTTACGACCACAGTGGTAGTCTGATGGAC